CCCCAAAACCCCAAAACCCCAAAACCCCAAAACCCCAAAGTTGGATTTAAATTTGAATAATTTTATTTGTGAATAAAATCCTTCGTTATAATGGACTTGGTACATCAAAACTTCCCGAAGTCACAGTACACTAAATTTGTAGCTGTGAACTGAGGAGACGTAGATGAGGCGATTTCAATTTTTGGAAATTTTACACCTCAAGGCGACACGCCTATTATCTGTATGCCAGAGAGAAGCTGTTGTAAGCCATACATAATAATCCCAGAGGGCTCTTATGCAGTTGTTGTCAAACATGGTAGCTATCAAGGAGTTTGGGAGCCAGGTCTGCACTGGTGTATGCCTTATACTGAAATCCAGTTCTTGATTACAAAGCAAAACTTCCAATTTGATGTCCCTGTAAGGAACTGTCCTACGATTGATAATATTTACATCCAGATTGAGGTGTCTATCGTCATGCGAGTGAAGCCTGGAGAAGAGAACATCAAAAATTTTGTCCAAAAGACTAGTGTCAATCAGCTGAACGAACAGCTTGAAGCTGTTATTTCTGAAAGAATCAGAGTCTTGGCTAGATCAAAAACCCATCTTGAAGCATACAGTATAAAGGGTAAGAACAGTGGAAAGAACCGGGATGACGGTAAATCTGTCAACAGTCAGCTAACTGAATACATGAATGGCATTTTCGAGACCAAAGGTATCGATATCAGGAGCGTTATCATCACCAGGGTAAACCTCGACTCTGAAATTGCTGACCAGCTTGAGGAAAAGACCACTTATGCTTCGATGAACACTCTTGAGAGGAAGCAGCAATGCTTTGAGCTCAGAGTCATCAACGATGAGCAAGAATATAACCAGAAGAAAGAGAAAATGAAGCAAGGAAGGCAAGCTGAGTCCGAGAGATTTAATAAATTGAAGGCTGAAATTGAGAAGGATAATGGCAAGATCAACGCTGACACTGCTCAGATAATTGCAGATATAAGGGAAAAAACTACTGCTGAAGTCAACAAGGTCAATGCCCTCTCTCAGTTAGAAGCTGAAGAGGTTAAAGCCGAGACTAAGATGATTAGAGCAAGGATTTTGGCAGAAGGAAGAGCTAAATATAATGAAACTATTGCTGAAGCCGAAGCTTATGTACTGACGAAGGAAGCAGAAGCCAGGCAAAAGACTGCTGAAAAATTCGCTGAGGAGCTCAGGATTAGAGGGAAAGCAGAGACAAGGCTTTCTGAAAAGAGAGGTCATGAACTGCAAATGTCGCAGTTAGGAATTCTACAGGATCTCGCCCAAAATAGAAATTTGAAGATCTTTGGAGAACAAAAAGAGAACTTGATGGCACAATTCTCTGCTTTCAAAATGATAAACCAGCAATAAAGAAACTTAAAAGGATCTTTAATAGAGAATTTATAAATTTTGTGTGCAAATTTTAGCTTTTTTCCAAGCTTGGGTCTCAAATGTTTCAAAACTTCTATATGCTACCTTTTCATGTTCTCAGACAAGACTAGTGAATATTTTGTATTATGGGGTTTTGGGGTTTTGGGGTTTTGGGG